ATAAGCGCCCAAACGCGCTAGCCCAGTTGCAACAGCTCCCAGAAATCTGAACACCAAAAGTTCCCAACTGAAAAACAAACTTTCTGCGGTTCCACCAACGTTGCCGCCCCACTCGATTTCGTGAGCAACAAGGGACCAATGAGACACCATTGACGTTCGTTGGATAAGAGCGCGCGGGTTGTCCACAGAAAGGAATGAATGGCAGAAATTCGCCTGTTATGGCAATGCACTCATTTTGTTGTTCAGCTCGGGATTTCTCTCGCAGATGTGCAACGCTTCCGAGATTTTTTCAGCACCGATATAGTTCTCGTAGGCCAGGATTCTGCATTTAATATCAAAACCATTGTCTTGATGTACTTGAAGTCGATGCTTCCCAAGTGGCGTAGAGAGGCTTCCACGCCTTTTACCTGCTAGATGTTCTTTGACACGTGTGCCTAACATCCTTGCCGTCTCACCAATATATATTCCTACCGTCACAGGCTGAGCACTGAAGTTGGTACGCTGTCCCTCGTTATGTGCAATCTCCGTCTTTTCCAAACGGACAAATAACGCAGCTATTCGTAGAACATGCACGATCATAAAGTCTATTGACTGTCCGTCGATAGGTTTACCAAGACATTATCGTTAGCCAGATCCGCTCGAGCAATGCATCGTTGAATTTCTGCCTTGACTTTATCCGATATATGTATGAATGGGAGCCGGAGATGCACATATTCTCACGTTTCTTAGCGAATACACTTTTGAGCCTGCCCATCTGTCTTGTGTCCCATAGCCATACAAGTTTGCGATTACGCATGCTAGCTTATGTGACTCGCCTGCACACACTCCTGAAGCCGTTCTGTACATATTACGAACTACTGCTCATTTCACAGCTTCAGGGTGAACAGATTTAGCGCGGAGTAAGATTTTTTCGAGCTGTTCTTTCGATACTACTTCACGTGATACCTTCCACCTGCACCTGAAATTTTTATCTGCGTGATCAGATAAGGACGTCAGCCTTTGTGCAGAACTTCTCTCGTGAACCTGATGTGCTGTGACTGTCGGTTGAGGATGCCAAATAATACTTCCATTTCTTGCTGCGTTGATGAAATTACGCAGCAATCATCGATGTACCGACAGTACATAATGGGCATGCGCGCTACAACTGACCTTTCTGCCCTGCTCATAAAGCCGATAGCTAAGACCGGTGCTAGTCGCTGACCCATTGCAAGTCCTCGCTTTTGGGAGAAGTACTGCTCGCTCCACTTGAAAATATCACAAGTGACGCAGACATCGATCAGAGCCATTATGTGCAACTTGCTCAATCCGAAAGTCTCAATTTCTGTTTCATGCTCGTCCAGCATTTCGGACCCCGTGAGTGACAAGGAAGGGGAGTTCGCGCTTCTACCACGTTCACTGTATCGTGAAATCACGGACCTCCACCTTAATGATACTTCTGTATGTAATGCTTTGTGGGTATCAATCGGAAAGAGAGCAAAATTGGATTGAATGTCGATTAGAAGATTGGAGTTGGATGCACCCTCGTGCTGTTTTTCGTGCTCTTTTTCTATAGCCTGAGCACGACTCATAATTTGAAAAGTCATTTAATGCTAGTCATTGCAAAGTTAGACCCATCACATGTTGTGTGGGAGGACCAACGGACCGTGTTTCCTGGTTCCTCAACAGAATTGATGGTCAACTACTCCGATACGTACCCCAACATCTGCCTAACACCAACAAGTTCTTGATCGCCTACGTTAATGAAGACTTCATGAAAACTGCGTAGTAGAGTCGTTTGACGTAGCTGCGCTTTATGCGAATGTCAACAACAGCGAAGTTGTCCAAGCGGTCTTCGAAATGCTGGGCGAGCATAAAACAGAACTTGTGACGTTCTTATTGAGCAAGGTCCAAGTGGAACGAGAGGAGTTATGTAAGCTAGCATGCGAGATCGCAAACTTGAATGGCTAAGGAACACGACACAGAAGGTCAGGCTCAAAAGCGTATTCGCTGAGAAGCCGTGAAAATGTGATGCATCCCCGGCTTTCATTTATACCGGGTCAAATCAGCGCGGAAATCCC